TTGTTTTTCTGTTATGACATATTTAAGCAATAAACTGTTACCCAACCTTTGTTCATATATACCACCATAACTGCCATAGGGTAACACTTCATTTTTTGGTTGGTGATGAGGCAACAGCGTTTATTGTGATATAAATACCACACGAATTTGTATTAGTCTAATGAAAAAAATAAAAGCTAATGTAAATATAGCCTAATACACTGTGAATATCAAAAGTTTTGCCATTGTTATAGTAACCATTAACAAATATTCTTGGTTGAGAACTAAAGTAAATCTCTTTTATTTAATAGTAATTATTTCAAATACTTCAGATGGTCAGGGCGTTATCATAGAGAGAAAATAGCAGCACATGTTAGATTTGATGAAGATTTAGACATGTCACCATATTGTTCAGACTCGGTCGGCTGGACTTCATGTACCTACCGACTGGCAGGGGTCGTAGTTCATCATGGGTGGGGCTTCGGATCAGGCCACTATACTTCATATTGTTGGAGTAATGAAGCAGGTAGAGTTTACAATCTTTAGTTACAGTTACAAGGGGAGGGCACAGGGGAAGGGCATGCTTGTCTGGGGTTTTCTGCATCCTTGTCCTACAGTTTGTTTGTATGCACCCTAGGACGATTTCCAGTATGTTTGCAAAGGTTTATCATCTTTTAACTACTGAATTTTATAATATTTTGATATGATTTGACACAGAGTAATGACTTCCCTTGATATACTGAAATTATTAACGAAGTTTATAAAGTTATTTATACATCTTGCTAGGCAACCAATTGTTATTCTTTCAGATTTATATGGATAAAATATGTCTGGTAAATATATCAAATCAAAAACCTTGTATTAAATCAACTCATTTATATTTTTTCAGATTCCTGGTTAGATTGTAATGATTCTAAAGTGGAGTTCACCACTCTACAAGACGTACAGAAATCACAAGCCTATATTTTATTCTATACACAAGTTACGCAGGATATTTCAGATGAGTCCCTAGCAACACCCTTAGAAACAACGACGTCTGGTGAATTCTCAGACTCTGAAAGCCTTAGTGAAAATTCGTTAATGGTGGACGAAGATATAACATTCAATTTTAAGAATTCAGATTTGTTTACGGACAGTAATTCTAATGCATCTGCGACTATCTCTACGCCTCCTCGATTAAAACGTCGCCGAACAAATTCATTATGATATCGGGCTGTTGTGCAATTGTGTTGTTTGTCTGTAATCGTGTATCCTGTATCTTTATTTTAGTTTAACATATTCAAGACTGGTGCTGTAAAGATTCAATTAAGAATGTACTTGTGAAAAATTTACAAAAAGGTGCACGCCTATTTGAATAATCAGAAAATGTTCAGGGTTTGTGCTGAGAAAATTTTAGTTGAAAAATAACCATATTCTGTTGTAATTATGAAAATTTACAAAAATCTGTTCATTTGAATATTCAGAGAAAAATGTCCTTAAAACCAACAATATTGTCAAACATTTTGGATCATCGTTTGAACTTAACTAGCAAATAAAGTCGAATTAACAACCCTTGACTCACATCACACCAGATCATCACATAATAAAGGTTTGTTTTGTATTTAAGGCTGTATCTAGATTGATGCAAAAATTTCATTA